CAATGGAGACATTTGGTGCGGCGGTGGACGATGAGATGAACGGCGAGGATGATGATTTCCTCGACCAGCAGCAACCAGACCAAGCTGACGACTTCATGTCTGACGATGACGATTTCCCTCACCAGCAGCCGGGGCAAGGGGATGAGGACTACTTCATGTCCGACGACGACGATGACTATTACCACTCGGTGCAAGGTGACCACGACGACGATGACTTCATGATCGTGTTCGGCGATGACGAGGAGTACCCCTTCCCTGCACGCTCCGCCAGCAGCGGCGATCGCGGCGCTGGAGGCGGCCATGGCGCCGGACGACGACTGCTGCCCTGCCTGCCTGCAGGACGGCGAGGAGGCGCTGAACGCGTGGCCATGGAGGCGGGTCGCGCCGTGCAGGCACCGTTTCCACGCCGCGTGCGTGGACAGGTGGCTGAGGGTGAAGCCGAGCTGCCCCGTGTGCCGGTGCTCGGCTGCACCCGCCGCCGTGTGCCGCCTTGACGCTGCGCTGGAGCCCCGCCCCTGTGCCCGGATCCTGGACATCGTCGAGGAGTTGTTGGCGATGGGTTACGAGGAGTCTCTCGTGTTCGAGTTCGAGAAGAGTACCATTGGTGATAGAGTACATCGCCGACCCCTACCGCCAAGTACCATTGGTTGTCGCAGCATGAGACTGGATTTGGGATCTTTCTTGCTTGAACAAAGTGCTGCAATTCTGCAAAGCCATCAGCCAATCATGGCGAATCTCCGACGGCCACCCCTCCCTCCCTTTTCTCTTGAAATTGTTGGAGCGTAGCGCGTTAGATGGCCATGTGGGCTGGTTTTGACTGTTTTGTTGGTATCCCCCGGGTGTGCAGCCAATGTACATAATTTTGCTAATTGCTCCGGTTAGAGTTGTAGACAATGTTTTCATTGGCTATTTTGTTTATCTGCATCCTAATAATCTTTTATTTGCCACATGCATGGCCCACAAGTGCTTTTTTAACCAGGCAAGTTTAATTTCGGCCCAGGCTATATGTTTGCTTGGCTATAATATTCTACTCTTGCACCCTTTTTTTTTTGAGCAATTTGCTATCGATGTAATCTATACCTAATAATAAAGAGGCAAAATTTCTCTCCACCTATTTTTTTTGTCCGTCCATCCCTTAACTAACTCCGTGAATGTGGAAACTGTTCCTTCATCTATTACCACCCTCCTGTTTGTATGACGTGCTTGTTTATATGATGAAGTGTAGGGCTTTTTAAGGTAATGTAAATAGCTAGGAATTCTAATCCGAATCCGAATTACATTCCTCCGATTCTAGGTAACCTGAATAAGAATCCTAATCCTAATCAAGATAGAAAAGAATAAGAAAAAAATCTACACAGAGCATAATTTCTGGTATTAGATTTTGGTTCAGCCCCAATTACGCGTTCAGCACCAATACGGGCCTCGGCCACCCGTTGTTGCACGTCCGTACGTGACTTTTCTCTCTTTTTTTTCTTGCCCGTGTGTCCGTGTTTTTCGTTTACTTCGGACTTTCATGGCTTTTTGTTACGTGATTTTTCTTTTTTTTGTTTTTCTATATACCTCGGCCCTGCCAAGGCACAACATGCATGCTGCTTGCTGCATGCGCTACGCAAAAACAGCAACAAATGAGGACGAAAGTTTACGAGTCTAGGCGATTCTGAGACGATGGCGTTGAGTCGTAACTCGCAAGTGGTGTGTGCCATATTACTGTGCAGTATATATAGGTTGTGTACATCTCGACTGGAGCGAGCGGTACGGGTCTTTATCATCCGCACGAAGCGTCTCAGTTTCCTCAGTCTGGTTCCGCTCGTACATCTTTTATTTTCTGTCGATACGGTCATTTTATCCTTTTTCGTATATATAGGTACCTTTTCTCCCTTTTCTCGCAAAAACAGTCGTCTCCCAGTACGTCCATTGTCATTTTGTATTTTTTTTTCTCAAAGCACCTTGGTTGTGATTTCTTATTTTCTAAGAAACGTGAAAAACAACTAATAAATAAATGTAACACTACACGTTGACCTTTTTCTATTCTCTAAGCAACAAAAGATTGCCACTATCAAGTTATCGATCGATGTACTTAAAATAGTTAGAAATAAAATTTATTCTTATTAAAACTTACATCAACCAAAACAAGTAGAATAATATGAAAATTAATATTATGATATATTTATAAGTAAATATTTCTATACTTTGCAATAAGAAAAACATTATCAAGGTCATAGTTTAATTTAACACAGGCTTAATGACGCTGTCATATTGTTAATAACATTAACTTATATGCATTAACTTATATGGATGTCATGGTCATCATAAAATAATTATAGCTTTTAAATTTTATAGAAATGATAAAAAATAAATAGATATATAGCATTCACATCGTCATTTGAAATTAAATTTGATAATATTTTTTTCCCGTTGCAGCGCACGGGCATATTTGCTAGTCATAATATAAAATAGTAAACATTTGACATTTCTCCAAGTTATACGTATATACCAGTGCAATCCACGGTAAGGGCTGGAACTTGATATTTTAACTCTACCAATAAATGAATACTATGTAAATAGTTTTGTGGCTTGTAACGGAAGAATTTTTTTTTATCAAGGTAGTATTTTAACTCGATATAGACTCGATGAAGTAGGACATTGCCATATATATTATTGCAAATGCAAACTTATTATGGATGTCATGGGCATCAGAAATTATAGTTTTTAAATTTTATGAAATAGTAAAATAGAAATAGATATGTAATATTACCGTTGTTGTTTTTATAAATATTTGACTATTTTTTCTCCCGTTGCAACGCACGGGTATATTTGCCAGTAAAAAAAGAAAAAAGAACGAAATTTAATTAGCCATAGGCCTTTCTTTAACGGTTGAACTTCCACCGCCGATCAATCGAACTGTAGGGACCAAACTAATAGTACTAATTGGAACAAAATAATGGGAAATTATGTGCGGTGTCGTGGTGTAGTTGGTTATCACGTCAGTCTAACACACTGAAGGTCTCCGCTTCCAATCCGGGCGACGCCAATTTTTAGTGGTCTCAATTTTTTTTAATTACTACTTGTTTTTATTCCTTATTAGTAGTTAATACGAATTGGGCTGGGCCAAACAACATTACTGCCCACGGCTTGTGGGCCTTTTTTTTTTGTCTGCCGAGCCCTCAGAGGCGCAGACGAGTGAATTACAGTTTATAAATGGTTAATATAGTAGCCATCCACGGGCTACCCAGCAAATGCACAGTTCGAAAAAAAGCAACAATTATAAGACAGTAATCCTGTTTTCTGTGAAAGAAAACATACAATAGATATCGATTCCACTGCCCATCAGTTTATGATCGTGTCATCATCGTGTGATTGTAAGATGTGCAAAATTGTCTATATACAGCACGAATCAAGATTTAGAAAACACAGTGGCAACTATCAGGACCTGCTAGTTAAGATTCTTGAGAATTTGGACAGCGGCAAGTCTACAACTCAGAGGATGGATGAATAACTACTTCTGTCAGCTATGTCATCGGAACTTAGAAAGAACTGATCGCCTCTTTCAGGAGTGCACATTCTCCGGGAAGAAACGGCTTGAGGCCCAGCAGCTGACAGGCATCGAATGGACTAAAACCACGGTTCAGTGACCTCGCATCACTGGAGCCTCCATCAGCAAAATCACGAACGAGATCACTTGCTCTTCTTGTGGTCTGGTCAATCTAGGAGGAGAGAAACAACAGAGTTTTTGGCAGGGTTCAAAGAACTGAGCAGCAGACTTTCGGTGACTTAGGCGACGAGGCTCGATCATGGTGTTTAGCAGAGAACAAAAGATCTGGAGCACATCTTGCCGGTGTGCTGGACGAGCACATCTTGCCTGCAGATGTAGCAAACAGCAAGATCTTCTTCTAGACCGACCCTTAATTTTCTTTCTTATCAATCTAACCTTAAACTGCCAAATGTCCATAGGGTCATCATAGGCACAGGGAGTTTCCCAAACTTTTTTCACTAAATTCTTAAAATCTGTTTGCTCAAGCCACGATTTCTCAAATCTAAAAATTCTAGATTCTAGATTCAAGATCAAAGGGACATGGTCACTGCCCACTCTAGCCTTAGCAGTCACAAAGGCTAGGGAGGGACTTCTGTTCAAAGGTAGTTGTGCAAAAAAAAATTATCTAAGGCTGCCATAATAGGTTGGTCTTGATTATTTGTCCAAGTATAAGATCTAGTAGAGTTCTTAAGTTTAATCAGACCCATTTATTTATCAAATCCAGAAAGTTATCAGCCAATTTCTGGTGGGTAAAGTCCAATTTACACCCTCCAACTTTCACCAAAGTCCGGATTTCAACCTCGAACTTCAAAACCGGATAACTTTGGCCCTCCAACTCTTGAAACCGTTCAACTTTCAACCTTCTGGGCGGTTTTGCGGGTGAACAGTAACTTTTGATAGGCGCCTCCCGAAAATATCAAAAGTTACTGTTCACCCGCAAAATATCAAAAGTTATGTTGAAAGTTGAACGGTTTCAAGAGTTGGAGGGCCAAAGTTATCCGGTTTTGAAGTTCGAGGTTGAAATCCGGACTTTGGTGAAAGTTGGAGGGTGTAAATTGGACTTTACCCATTTCTGGTTGACCAGACCATTACTTTTTTCTCTAGCTGTAGTCACAATATTAAAGTCACCACCAATTACTGTTGGGCCATCCCAGTTATCTAGGAGCCCCTCTAATTCCAGCAAGAAATCCATTTTACCCTCCTTATAAGGGGAGCCATATACCACTATTAGTCTCCAGAAAAATTATCCTGGCAATTTTTAATGATCCCAGCTATAAACTAAAAGAGCCATTTTTTCAGGCTATTACCTCAAACTTCTTCTCATTTAAGCCTGCCAAGATACCACCAGCGGTACCATTGGCAGGTAGAACTTGTTAGATAAAACCCTTGTTAACATACTTAAGAAAAAAGTCGTTAAAAGATTCCTTCTTAGTTTCTTGGAAACCCACAAAGTCTAATCTATTACCATTCACAAAACCAATGGTTCTTTGTTTTGGGCGTTGCCTGTAGAGACAACTTGAGCCCAAGACTGTCTAACCAGTTCACTTTTTTCCTTTAAAGGAGCTTGGTTTTCAGCATTCAAAGCTGGAAAATCAATAGCTATTTCTTCTAAGTTCAGATCCCCAGGAAGGTTAACCTCAGGGTTAACACACCAGTAATCAATCTTCCAGCACTGGTTGTCACACTCGGACCAATGCCTGAGAGTCTTCAGGCACTGGTTGTCGCACTCGGACCAATGCCTGAGAGTGACATTGGTGCCATTGTTCTTGTCATCCAGGAAGGCGTGGAAGTTGAGGTTGATGCTGTCCAACGGGCGGATGCACCGGAAGCCATGCCCCACATCACAGCTCTCCGTCCACAACACCGACTTGTCCACGTAGTTCGGATTGTACGGCACGAGCTTGACCTTTGGAACATAATAAACAAGCAAGAAAAGAAAACCTTGATCAGTTAAGCCTGCGGTGTGGTGTGATGATCAAATAAAGATCTGACAAAGGTGCACATATAGTTGCTTACTGCAGGGTGGTCTGTTGATGAGAGAGCGTTAATGCGTATCGGTTTGGTACCGGAGAAGAACTTGGGCCATGTTTAGTTCCCTCATTTTACAGAATTTGGCACTATGCAAAAAGAAGATTCCCCATCACATCAAACTTGCGGTACATGCATGGAGTATTAAATGTTGATGAAATCAAAAACTAATTGCACAGTTTGGTTGTACTTTGCGAGACGAACGTTTTGAGCCTAATTAGTCAACAATTGGACAATTATTACTAAATAAAAACAAAACGGCACTGTAGCTACAGTGTCGCTACCGTGATTCGGCCGGCGCCGAATCGGCCGAACTAAACACGGCCTTGATGGCCTCGCCACTGAATCTGTTGATGAGAGCGAATGCGGGATAGCCTTCCTCGTCCTTGATTCTGTTTCCGTACCTCGTGTCCTTGATCCAGTGCTGGTACTTTGTCGGCAGGGTTGCTGGGCACGAGGCGGACAGCACCGTTGCGGACTGCGAGGCTAAAGCACTGGCCATGCTTGTATCTAGGTAATGGAACAGTAAACGCGATAGGCATTTGCCTGTACCGTTCAGCTTACAGGTAATCCAGCGATGCATTCTAAAACAACTGCGATCAGGTGTGAGATATGGAGACAGCACATATATATATTACACAAGGCATAAAGAGTGTTCATATAGTACTTAGTCTTACACGAGGCAGGCCTATACTGACACGTTAGATGTCTAAGCAGTACATATATTTTACATAGAACAGTCTTAGGACAAAAGACAAAGAAGACATACACTGCAAGATAGCACAACATAGCATACTGCATACAACAAAAGTTATAGTAGCAAATGATGAGATGTAGCCCCTAAGGAAATTGGCATCTGCTTGAGAGGCTGCCCTGATCTCCAATGCCATAGGAGCACAATACTTAGCACATGTCATAGGAGCACAGGGTCAGCCATAATATTTAAGGGAAGTAGCTACTGCACTTGAGCTTCTCCTGATCTTGGTTATGAAATGTCACTGTATTGAAGCCTTGGATTCTAACTGAATATCAGCTCTATGCTGCTGCTCATAAGCTTCTTCAAGGATCTCCCTATCCACGTCGAATTCTTCTGCTAGTATACATAAGTGAGAAAAAGTGTTCATTGAAGTAAACTGGCAGCGAGAATGGCAAATGACGTATAAGATGATGGGTTAATTCGAACGCTGTCATCGTAATTCTTTGAGTTTGGAAATATACCATTGCTATTCGCGATATTGTAAATATGCCATTACAATTCCTGTGAAACGTGATTCATGCCATTAAGTATCCTTTTAGGTGTTCGTATACGGCAACATTTTTCATATGGCCCGTATTGCCCCTGCCTCATCCTGACTTACACGAGCTGGACAGGGAGTCAAGTTGCTCGCTTCGCTTTCTTTCTCTCGTCTCCTCTCTTGGTCTCTCCCCGTCCCCAAACCCTAACCCACGCAAGGCGGCGGCGCGGGCGAGTTGGCGGCGGCAGCGGCGCAGGCGAGTCGGCTCAACGCGGCGCAGGCTGTGCAGGCGTGGACGGAGGCTCCGCAGGACTCGGATTCAGCAGCGACGGAGCAAGATTCAGCAGGACGCGTTCCAAGTCTGCACATCGATTCGAGTCCATGGTCGTGGCTTGAGCAAGATGGTAGGCTTCCTCGCGACCGGCGACCCGTGTGGGAGCAGTTCGTCGGCCATGGTGGGCAACAAGGCCAGGTAATCGCTTAACTCCCGCAAAATCTTCTATCGGTATGACTAGAGAAGTTGTGGATGGACCCATTTTTGCCGTGGGATTTCCCCCTTACATTTCCATTCTTCGTGCTAGGCCTGAGTTGTCCATGCTAGAGATTAAAGTTCAAGGTTTCAGCACCATAGACTCCCTAGGTAGGAAAGCATACAAAAAGGCATTTCTGATTAAGTGGGAGGTGGACATAGGTGCTTTAACCGTAGACTTGTTGATGAATGTTTTAGCCAAAGAGGTGCAATGGTCATCTCGGCAGTGTGGTAGATTGTGGTTCTTTGACAAGAATTTGGGAGAAGATGTCCGATTAGTGAATGACAGACACTTGCTAGATATGTTTTCTATGTATAACGTTGAGATGTGTTGCCAGGTCTTGGTAGGTGTATTTGACAATTCGGTAGATTCATCACGATGACTATCTTTGAGCTAGAACCTCTCGTGTGTGATTCCTCTCGATGATGACCAACCTAGCCAAGTGAATCCACCACATAAGCCAGAGGCCCCTGAACCCAAAAAACACAATATAGAGGCTCCTAAAGCCACAAAAAACATGCTAGAACCTACTAAAACTACAACAAAGGAGCCAGACTTTGAGCCTACCAGGGAGCCAGACATGTTTAATAATGAAGAGGAGTACGTGGGCGTTGATGATGAACACATCTATATCTCAGTACCACCTGCACAACCAACCACAAATGCCACTGCAACACAACCAGTTGATGACAATTCGATTATATTTCTGCTTTGAAGGAGGTGTTCTGTTGAGGCGAAGTTAATGATGAGATCCTCAGGAGATAAATGTCCTTCATGTTCAGACAATCCCAATATTGTGAAAGGTGCCTTGTTTTCGATATCATAGCATTCAGGAAAGCTGTGAGGCACTATGTTTGTGATCATTGGATTTGAATTTGTTGATCGATGACCTGACAAGACCAGGTTCATTGCCAAGTGCAAAGCTGAGGGCTGCCCATGGAGAATACATGCGTCAAGGATTCATGATGGCAAAACAATAGAGGTACAACCTGTGTATTCTTATTTTGTATTCTAAACTATTTTTGGTACATTTTGTAACATGTATTTTTCTATTCAATTTTGTTGCAGATAAAAGTATTGCCTGCTGAGCATAACTGTCCTACAAAGCCAAGAGAAGGAAAAATGGCAACACAAGACTGGTGTGCTAGCAGGTTGATAGAATGGCTTAAGAAAAATCCAAACAAAGGTGCCAAGGATGCTAGGGACAAACTGGAAGATGATTACCGCATCAAGTTGAAGTATTCTAAGGCATGGGCAGGTATAAAGCTAGCTCTTCAGCACATACATGGTAAATATGAGGAAAGTTTTCAATTGTTGTTGAATTGGAAAGCACAAATGGAGCTTAGTTCACCAGGAAGCATTGTAGAAATAGAGGTAGAAGGGAATAAGAAGCAGATGTTCAAAAGGATTTTTGTAGCCTTAAAGCCTTATGTAGATGGATTTTTGGTAGGTTGCAAACCATTTGTAGGGGTAGATGCCACATGCTTAAATGGTAAATACATTGGGCAGTTGGCTTCAGCTACTGCTGTAGATGGGCACAACTGGTTGTATCATCTGGCTTACGCCATTTTTGACTCAGAGATAGAGGACAATTGGAAATGGTTTATGGAGCAATTGCATAAAGCTATAGGATCACCTAAAGGCTTAGTGATCTGTACAGATGCTTGTAAAGGTTTAGGAAGTGCAGTGGGAGCAGTGTTCCCATAAGCTGAGTACAGAGAATGCACGAGGCATTTGTATTCAAATTTCATGAAACACTATCAGGGAGACGTGTTCACTGATCATTTGTACCCAGCAGCAAGAAGCTACATAGAGGGGCTGTTCAAGTGGCATATGAAGAAGATATTTGATCGATGTTGCACCAGATGCCATAGAATTCCTAGAGCAGCATCACAATAGACTGTGGTACATATGTGGGTTTTTAGAGAAGAGTAAATGTGACTACTTGACCAACAATGTATCTGAGAGCTTTAATGCTCAGATCAGGCACATGAAAGGACTGTTGCTGCACGAATTGGTTGATGGCCTGAGAGAGCTCATCATGGAGAAGAGGTTTTTGAGGAGGAAGATTGCTAGGAAAATGCTTGACGGTATACTCCCTACTGTCATGAAGGAGTTGAATGCTATCAGCAATAATCTCAAAGTGGTTAAGGTATCAAGTAGTGATGAAGACATGGCCGAAGTGACACTTCTGGACAACTGGAACAATCAGAGGAGACACACAGTTGATCTCCAACATCATTCATGTTCATGCATAGAGTGGCAGCTCACAGGCAAGGCCTGCAAGCATGCATTAGCTTGGATATTGTCCAATAGGGGAATGAAAATAGAAGACTATGTGCATGAATATTATTCTATAGCAAGATTTAGGGTTGCTTATGAAGGAAGAGTAGAGCCTTTTTCCAGACAGAACACGGTGGCTTGTGGTGGATCTTGGGTTCACAATATTTCCACCCTTGATAGGAAGACCAGTAGGCAGACCAAGAGTACAGAGAATTAGGGGCTGTCTTGAAGGGAAAGCGAATAAGAAAAAGGTGAAGTGCAAAAGGTGTGGTGACTTCGGCCACTTTGCCAAGACTTGCAAATTTGCTAAGGTCTACTCCGATGGAGAAATTGGGGGCAGATCACAGAACAAGAGGTTAGTGACTCATTCTCAAAGCATTTCTTGTGCATTCTGTACTGAACCTAGTGCTAACCACTATACTATGTAGGAAACGGCAAGAAGATGACACTGCTGGGCCGTCAGAGGTGAAGAAGAAGAAGAAGGTAGGACAAAAGAAAAAAAGAGCCCCAAAAGGAAGAAGACGCCCAAGAAGAAGAAAACTCCAGTGAAAAAAAGCAACAGTATGGGTGGTGTCCACCACCATCAAGGTAATAATCATCGTGTGCCCGATGATCCTTATGCTAAGATTAAGTTCACAATACCATCTTTTTCAGGTCATAATGATGCTGAGGGATATCTTGATTAGGAGATGATGGTAGAACAAAAGTTTAGTGCCCACCTTGTGCCTGAGCAACATAGAGTTCGACAAGCTACTAGTGAGTTTAAGGACTTTGCCATTATTTGGTGGAATGGGCTAGCTGCACAGAATGCTTTACCTGGTACGTGGGAAGAACTTAAGATGGCTATGCGTGATCGTTTTGTTCCTCCTTCTAATCATAGAGACTTGCGTAAGAAATTGATGCATTTAGAACAAGAAGAGAAATATGTACAGGATTACTATGGTGAGCTCCAAAAGGGATTGATGCGTTGTAGTGTTGTAGAGGGGAACGAAGATTCCATTTGTCATTTTTATTTGGGTTTGAGGCACGAGATTCAGGACATTGTTGATTATAAAGAATTTCACATTATCAACCAGTTGTTTCAGTTCGCTATGCTTGCAGAAAAGGGATTGCAGGGGCGTGAACAGCAGAGCAAGAGCAAGGTCAGCACCACATACACGCCATGCTCGGCACCATCTTCGGGGCTGACCAAGCCAACCACTTTTCGGGCACCCCCACCAGCGAGCAAGCGACCAACAGCCTCTGGAGTTACTACTACACCTAAGGCACCTCCTGCACGACCTTCAGATTCAGGTAAAAATTCTTTGTAGGTGCTTGCCAAGAGTGCCTCATCCGTTGCATCGACGGGACGCACTTTGGGCATTCAGTGTCACCGCTGCCATGGAATTGGCCATGTGTAGAAGGACTGCCCAAGTCAGCGGGCATACATTGCTATAGAAGATGGTTACATCAGCACCTCTGACATTGAAGATGAAGAAGACAAAGATACAGATG